TTTCTTCCCTTATTACTTACCGACCTATGACAAAACTTACTGATTTCACTATGAGGCGGTATCAGCTTACTGGCTGATTTGACAAAAACTCGCCGTCTTCGAAATGCTGAGAGTCTATTGCGCACTCTGTAGATATGACGCTCTGCACTTGAGGATATTGTTAGGAAAGAGGGGGCTGATAGCATTGCCGGCAAAGACAAGAGAGACTGGAATGGCCATTTAGGGCTGATTTGTCGTCCTCGGCCAGTCATACCCAACCTCACGTGGTACCCCATCCGAGGCTCGAACTCGCGACCTTTCGACCAGAGTCTAATTCTCTAACCATTGCGTCACGGGCTCGTTGTCTTTCCGCTGCTGGCAGAGCTCAAGAACGATCCCCAAGACAGACCGAAACGAGCGAGTTCTATTAGCGATTCGTGAATGAAAGGGGATGTTGTTTAGCAACAAAGGGTTGCATTCTGTTTGGAAATAGTCGTCTCTCAGACTCGCATTGCAATTTAAGCATCTATGGTGTATTTCCCCTCTGATAGCTAGTACAGTACATATGTGGACAACCGCTTTTAACGCTCCTTTTCCCGACATATTAATATATTTTGCCTTAAAGGTTTCAGGCTCGTCCTGGTACGAACTGTTCTTCACTTTTTCCACAGCAAGGTCTTGCTTCTTTGCCTGTACACACGTTTTTATATTTTTCAGCGGACTTCTTGTCGGCTTGGGTATTATAAAAACGAATCCCGGTCTTGGCGCTTTTATCCTCACTCTGGCTGTCATTTTTGGTCTCGAAACGCTCGTGTGTGCCTACTATCTTGTGCAGGTAGGTTTTTTGAATTTACCTGCTTTGCTGTGTCCAGTTGCAAGTCCATTCATTCCCGACGGAATCCCAGACTGTTCTACTATTACCTATGATTAAGGATTCCCGAGGGAATCTGAAACATCAGGAAAATAAACCTTACCTATGATTAAGGATTACCGAGGGAATCCGAAACGTCAGGACAATAAACCTCGTGTTCCAATGATCTCTTCTTCTTCTTCTTCTTCTTCTTCTTCTTCTTCTTCTTCTTCTTCTTCTTCTTCTGGCGGCTGTGGCTTCGACAAGACATACAGTAGACACCCTATCTCGTGAAATGTCAGCCGAAATTCCCAAATGCTTTTTTTCAATTCGAACAAATTACTTCAGTAGGGTCGCACTCCCGATTATCTCTTACAGCCGAATCCCACGATATTTCAGTTACCACAAGACGCGGACGGATTCTCTTTCGGTCAACCGCATGCGTACTATAATTGTCAGTTCCTTTAGCCACCGCTTGAG